GGTACCTTACTTTATCTGTAACTTGTTTCATTAAGTCCCTTACTGATACGAAGTGTGACATATGTTCCACGTTTTGACGACGATCGTCAGCAGCTGGAATTTCCTCTACGACTTCATAAAGTTTATCAAAAAGGGTATCAAATTTATCAATAGGGCGGCCAGTATTAATATGCCTTAAATCGGTTGCATGATCTGCGTCTTCTGCTAGTATTGCTTCTCTGATTTTTTCTACCTATTTGTTTTGTTCCATAGATGCATCTAACGTTAGCTCAGAATAGATTGTCTTAAGTACAACATAAGGGAAATTTACAGCATGCAAGTTGCAGAACTCTGACACAAAATGTTTTCTTATTTGCCTTGTATGGAATCTGGAAGTAAGGGAAGTACTCTTTCATACACTTGAATTGACAGTCTCATTACTTCATCAAGGCCCTATCAATACTTGCCCTCCAATTGATAAATGTAGATCCAACAGACCAACCTAGATTGTAGCTGAGAACTTCAATTGGAACTGAAAGATTCATTTTTTTAAAGAAAATTGAACCTCTTTTTGGTGTCCATGAACGTTAATGAGGAAGTGTGCTTTTCTTCATCAAAAAGAAAATAGGAGAAGCAATCTCGATTTGTAAGAATATCATCAAAAACTGAACACTGTGGTTGTACCAAGTCTACTGCAGGTCTGTGCTTTAAGTGCGAATGGTCCCCTACCATTCGAACAGGATGTTATAACCGTTGGCGTTTTTGCTGTGACTCATTTGATGACTGAAAGAATGAAGCATATGAAGTTAAAGACAGGGCAAGTATCTCCAAGTCGTCTTTAAGGTCATCCCATGGAGCAGTCAACGAGCAAGAAATGATATTAAATAGTGATGAACTGTGCTTTTCCAACTCAGAACCTCCCAAAGAAGGAGCCTTGTGTTTCTTTTTCCTCCAGTCATTGAAACCATCAAAGGAAAGATGTAGAAACCTGAAAATATTCATTTCATTTTAGTGTTTTTATATTTAAGGAATGCCTGTAATGTTTTTTCTGTCTATGAAGAAATAATTTCAAAAATGTGGGGCACCCTGAATAAAAGCGTGCACCACATTTTTCATGTTATTTCGAATAGACAGAACAAATATTACAGTCATTCCTTATAATTTAATTCTAAAAAAGGAGTAAATCATGATAAACACGTTGATGACGTCACGGTCACATGACAAAATTATGTCTATGAGCTGATAGACAAAACACTTTCAGCCAATCCAAAATTAAATTATTTCAACATATAGATTAAATATCAAACTGAACACTAGTGTCTAATTAATCTGAGTACAGCTCACTATATAACCAGTGGCGGATCCAGGATTTCCGAAAAGGGGCAGCCCACTGACGGAAAGGGGGGGGGGGAGGGGGCTCCCGACATGCTTCAGCAATTTCCTATCAAAGCAATCAACATGTTCTCCCAAAAGGGAGTGGGCCGCCCCTAAATCCACCTTTGAAAACTACCCCCATCTATATATGACAGATGCAGATTTCGAAAGATAAAAATTGCATGATAAATAGAACTCAACATCCCTTTTTAAAATTTTGTGAAAGTTTCATTCCATTCTTAGCACTGAAGGACAGACAGATAGATAGATGTAAAAAAAAAGTATACCCTCTCCAGTGTAGCAAATGCATTATGATCTTCAGTCAAACTTTTACTTACATGTAGCATGAACTTTTACATATGACTTAAAAACAAATTTCAAACATAGAAATATGTCATAGAAATTCAAAGGAAAATACAGACATAGTAATTACTGTGTGTATATAATTTGTGTATGAATACTAAAATGTAATGCATGTACCTGTCAGGTATAGGCTGAACATCCCTATTGTGAGTGCTTCTCTCAACTAGTTTGTGCTTGTTTCCATCCAAATACCATAAAACATTACAATTGTAGACATGAGTTTAGTGATGACATCATTAGTCATGGCAATTGGAAATTCAGCAAACACTTTATTCATCTCTTCACAAACCTTGTTGTATAACATGTCTTTCCCTTTACACGTACATGATGTAGGGGTGATAAAAAATTTACCGAACACACATATCCTAACCCAGTAAAAACACTGTTCAAGGTGTAATACCACCATTGATTTTCCCCTTTTAGTCTTTGTTAAATTTGCACTTTTCAAAAAACTGTGCAGAATTTACCTTTGTTTCAAATTAAGAAATACTTAGCATGAGTAAAGTTTTATCCTGTCCAGTACTATAGACAAAATTTCACATAATATTTCATTGCATATAAGAAAATAACTATCCCTGGAAGTTAAGAAATCAAATTTTCATCCTTTTTTTTCCTGTGTGCAAGCTTTAGTAACTATGTAACCTCAAGTTTCCAAAATATTCTATAGAAACACCAAATAAAAAAATAATGGTGCTTTGAAACACCCAATATATATGTTTATGACTCAGAAATTTTTTACTGCAATGAAATCTAGGTATAATTTCCTACAACTGTCAAATTCAAGGGAATATTTTTTTCGTCCCTTTTTCGTATGCATCTGGATGTGGCTTGGTATTACACCTCAAGTCAAATGACAAAGCCGTTAATTTAATAAACTACCAGAGTAAACCTGAAACCGCAATTACCATGACTTGGTACCGGGCATTTAAAAAGCAATAGGCTCACAAGAGCCTGAACTGCTCAACTGGCAAACGATGCCCTATTCAGCTCAGGATAGCATGCTTTATTTCTAATCCAAATATCGCTCCAGTCTGTACAAGCTCAAATTTTCCTTTAGAAAATGTCGACTATTTGAAAATGGCTGCCTACAGCTAATTTTTGTTGACGCCATTCAACTCATGATACCATGTTTCCTCTTTTAAATGAAATATAATTCAAATCTATAAAAGTTGAAATTTTGGCGAAAAAATGGCTGCTCTTAATAAATTTTCTGATCACCATTCAACTCGGGACACCATGTTTTTCAAATAAACCATATACCGTTGAAATCCGTATAAGTTGAAATTTTGACAAAGGGAAATTGGCTGCCATTCAACTGAGGATCACATGTTTCCTAATTAACCTAATATCTTTGAAATCCAAACAAGTTCAAAATTTTGGTGGGAAAATGGTCGCTCGGAAGAAATTTTCGTTTATATTCCCTGGCATTCAATTCAGGATATCATGTTTACCATTAAAAAAACTTTCATGTTCTATTTTGTACAGTAGTTTATGAAAAATAGACAAAACCTGCATTTTGACCCCTGCTATATTTTTAGTACTGGCAGCCATGTTTTTTTTTCAGATCATTTCAAAATGAGAATCGAAACAGCGGCCATGTTTTAATCGATTCATTTGAAAATGAGGATTGTTTGTAGTCAACATGCCATAGATCATTCCTGTAAAAGTTTCAATCAAATCCGTTAAGCGGTTTCAAAGAAGAAGATTTTTTTTAAAGTTTTAAACAGACGACGACGGCGGACGCATAGTGATGACATAAGCTCACCTGTCAAAGGGGCCAGGTGAGGTAAAAATGAAGGGTTAAATCAAAAATTGATAGTGTGCTAAACCAGTCCATTCAGTAAGACAGAGATCAAATTAAAATACAGTGCGAGATCATAAAAAAAATTCTAGTTTTTCAAACCATGTATTGAAAATGTTAAAACAAGTGAATTGAAAATTATGTATTAAAATACATGGCATTTGAAACTAGTACTTTACATGACATTTATAAATGGTCTCACCGTCTGTATGGAAAAAACTTGGCGATTTTACTGCCAATTAATCTCCACTTTATAGACCTTTGGTTCATGTCGGATATAAATAATATGTTGAGTTAATGTAAGTTTTTCTTTTTTTAGTTCAAAATCTCGTCATGTACTCATGTTTAGATACATTTGTAGGGAACATTCTGATATTGTTCCTGACGAAAATATAAATGAGACAATTGCAAATGTTACACATTATCCAAGTCATTGTGTGTGCACTGTTAATCAAGAATGTACATTTGTGATGAGTTTTACAGTAGAATTGCAGGAGGTAGTTCAATAGATTCTTCTGATTCACTGTTTGATTTAAGTAGTTGGTCAGAAGATTGTATTGATATTGCATTGTGTGACGGCACAGACATACCTTCAGCATCAGTTGTTCCAATCAGTAGTCCATATGTAGAATTTACTGGTAAAGTGTTGGCACTGCTGAAACTAATCAATCAAGTGATTCTAGAGAAACCGAATTTAATTTTTGTTATGATTAATTATATCAGTGATCAAGAATTCAAAATCTAGTGTTGGTACCTAGTGTTTTTTTTAACATTTCAAGAAAGGTGAGATACATGTATTAAAAACTTCAAATAACAAGGGACCTTGGCCCCATATCACCCATCCACACCCCCTGGATCAGCCTATGCCAAAAACACTTGCTTTCTAATTGTATGTTTAAATATATCTATATTAATTGATACTCCTTATAAATTAATTTTAAATCTGCACCAAAACATTCTTGATTTCTTCCATATTGCATACATCTTCACATCTTCAAATACTCGTTCCCAAATAAAGCTGTTTAAACACACAACATTTAGCAGTTACTTCAGTGCATGAGCTATAAACCCAAACATCACAACCTTTTTACACATTTTATGAGTAGTGTATCACTCACTAAAGTTATTGTCTGACTGGACCTAATAATCACATTATTCCACATTGCAACACCTTAACACAACTCACCATACCAAGTAAAGTCCAAAGAAACAGTAAATTAATTAAATTGTAACATGTACGATAAATTATATATGTATATATGTTAGAGAATGATAATCCTTTTCTTCATGATTTAGTATGATAATTATGAATTGTGCATAATCCCTTACAAAGAACATAATTTTATTCATTCTTCACAGTTAATAATATTATTTGTATGCATTATGATTGGCAACGACCCATCAACGACAAATTCAAGAAAAGGAAATATTTCAGTACCAAATTTTTTATAGGCTTATGAATTTATAAATTTGTTTATTGTAGGTTTACAGACATTTGAAATCGTCTTCAAATCGGAAATTTTTTGGCAGTTTGGAACATCTTCAGTTCAGTTTGAGGTAAGCATGCATGCAACAAATTATGATTATTATTATTTATTTTGAAAAACAATCAACATATTACAACATATGAAAATAAAAACTGAGCAACACGAACCAGACAAAAAACGGGGGGTGATAAATGCTTATAAATCAAAGGTACCAGGCTTATACTTTTCAGATCCAAAAGGGTAAGCAGATCCTGCTTCACATTTGTCACCCGTCGTATTATATCAACATATCTGATTCCCAAACAAATTAAAATACAAAGTTATAAAAATAGATGAAATGATAATAATAGTAGTTGCATGCACTATGATTGGGAACAACACATCAAATTGCAAAAGTGAATATTTCAATACAATTTCTTTATTGTAGGTTTAGTTAGTTTTGAAATAATCTAAAAAAACAGAAAAAACTTTTGGCAGTTATTCAACATCTTCAGTTCAGTTTGAGGTAAGCATGCATGCAACAAATTATTTATTATTATTATGGTGTTATAATTTGATAAAGGAAGATAACTCAATATATTTTGAAGTTGTTCAATATCTTAGTTTCACTGAAATGAAAATTTCATTAATGACTTTTATATATAATAAATGTGATTTGCTAATTGATAAATGTTAATCTTAATTCAAATCACCGAATTGAATATTTTAAAAAGGGATATAACTCAAAACAATTTCATGAATGGCATTTATCATAAAATGAACTGAGTTGTCCATTACTAAATAATTCAAGTTTTCCCCAAATTAAAATCTTTTACAGTTATGGTTTTCAAATGTAATGCATAAAAAGAAGTTGCTTTGACAATTTGTAATGTAATTGTAATAACACCAGCCAGATATGTTTGTTAAGGGAGATGACTCAATACCTTTAAATTGTTCATAAATGGTAAATCTATTGTTACTTTTTCATACTTCAGCAATATATAGTATTAAATCATTAGGTTTTGAGTTGATGAACTGTCATAATGTCAAATATGATGGTTACAAACAATGTTGTACATGATGTTTTAAACACATTAATGGAAAACCTCGAATGGTTCATAAAGTTCTGTGTGAAATTGGAGGTGTTACTCCACACACTATAATAGTTGGTAGCATTTACAATCAAGCCAAGGGAGTTGTACATTTAGTTAGGAAAGTAAAGAGCTGCAGAAACAATGAGAGATTGCAGAAATATTTGCAAACAGATTTTGTTTTTCAGAAGAGAGTGTTAAAAAGAAAAGTAGATGAAAATGATGAGGAATTGAGAGAAGACTACAGGAAATTAAAACATACAATAAAAGTACATGAGACCTCAAATTTGAAGTTAAGATAAAAGTAAGAGCTATAAATGTTTCACGGCTTAACAAAAAAATTAAAAGGCAGGCTTCAACGGTTTTAAGATAACACGAAACAATAGTACTATTAAAACAAAGAGTAAATGATTTGGTAGATAGAAAAAACCAACATGAAAAGGAAACACAGTGCAATACTTCTTAAACCATTATCAAGAACTTAAAAGATGAAATAGATATACTGAAGTCTGAATGTCAGAATGATGCGAATAACAATGTAAAGGATGATTAAATAGAAACGAGACTTGAAAGTAAAGGAAAATCATTTAATGATATGATCCGCAAAATCTATTATAATTTTAGAAGCAGTGGAATAGGTTTATAGCATTGTGCTTCATTGATAAAATGTGTTTTTAAATTATTATTAAATATGGAAAAAGGCGATTTGACCAGCAAGACAACCGCATGTAATTTAACCACCGAATTAGGGTTAATAGCAAAGCAACACATAGGTGAAGAAATTTATAATACTGAAAATGTTACAATGCACCGTGATGCAACAACAAAACTGGGTCGACACTTTTATGGTGTTCAAGTTACTAATGAAAAGCAGCAAACATTTACAACTGGATTAAGGTAGGTCACAGATGGAAAAGCAACAACATATGTAGAATGTACAAAACATTTTCCAAGAAATGACCAAATTTTCTGAAACTTTGGATCCTCCTAACATTTTTGGCAAAGGTAAAAATTTCATGACCGACCGCAGTGCAACAGAAAATAAAGTAAATAAAATGTTGGCAACAGAAATATCAGCTTTATCACCAACTAACACAGCACAAATGAAATTACAAAACAAAGATTCTTCTAATAAATTTATCAACTATCCTTGTAAGACATAGAACCAACAGATAGACTTAAAGCTAAGAACTTTATTTTGTCAAAAAATTAATCTGAAAAGGTTGTATTGGGGGCATTTTGTAAGTTGAAACATAGGTATACTATTTTTCTCCTCTGAGAATTGCTTATTCATTTTGAAAACAATCATCATGACTATACGGCACTGAAGATTAAAAGTTGTAGAGTGTATTTTAATCAATTTATAATTCAAATATTTTCCAGAAAAGGGCATTGAAATTGTACTTTTTCAACATAAACAAATTAAAAAACTGTTTATTGAAATAGGGATTCTTTCTTGATTTCAAAAATATATATAGCCTTCTTATAGTCAAATGACTAAAATTGTTAACAGACATTTGATGGGGAATAAACTAAAACAATATTGGTTTGTTCTAATTAAGAGGTTTAAAATTGTACTAAATGTTTCAAGCCAATCACTGATAAGCAAACTAACCTAAAAAAAAAAAAAGATCTTGTTAATCCTTAATTAATCATTTATCTTTCAGACATAATTTACAGAATCACTTTATGTAGTGTAGATCAAAAGTAATAGGCAATGAATAAATCTATCATTTCTATATTTCAAACATCTAATATATACATTTGTGTATTCAATTATGAGGTCAAATATTTGTGTATTGCGAGGTTATTGAGATGGATAATGAAGGGTCTGTTTAATTATGTAAAACTGAGGTTGATTAGTAATGTGGTCAATTTGATTGGCATTTAAGGAGATGGGGCATTGTAATTAAGGCCCCACATTGTCTCTGATTGTTTGGTGATCATGACAGTTGTCAAGCATACTGTTATTGTATCATTACTCTAATTGCCTAATCAAAAAGACATAGCCTGCACATCAACACACCTTAAAGACATACATACTTGAATGAACTCCTCCAAAAATATGGATCCCAAATTTTTCACAATTTATATGTGCATATGTACACAGACATGAAAAGTACAGGGAACTATATTTCAGTGTGTATACATTTTGTAGATTTAGTAGCTAACCTTGTGCTACTTGTTGTTAGGGAGGCCGGTGCATTAGGAAAGATTTAGAGCAAGTTCCAATCAGACAACAACTTAATGATGAACGAGTAAGAATAATTGACAACAAAATTAAGGGAAAAAAAGAAAATGAGGACAAGAGGTTAACAAAAGGAAACAATCAGGAAGAATATTACTATTTTAGGAATTTGGCAAAATTTGAATGAAATAAAATTACAACTGGAACCATTAAAAACAAAGAAAGAAAAAATTTTGGACTTAAAAAATCAACTTCATATACATAAAGAAACAATGGCAGTAAGAAGCAGCGACACACATCTTTTTAAATTTAGTACTAAAGGAGAACAACATACATTGAAACTCTAACCAACAATTTGCTGCAGTTACTTAAAATTAGAAGTGAGAAAATGGATCTTTTCCAAGACCCTGATAGTGTTGTTGGCAAATTCATCACTCATGTATGGACAGATGATGTGTCAAATACTGACACCAAATACAGTGGAAAGATTTTGTCCTTCAATAATGACACATCCATTATCCTCCAGTCTTTCCTTGGTGCATGAAAAACTCCATACTACTACAATATTATTGACTGTATATCAATGTTTTGGAATTTGTTGAATTTAAACCGAATTGTATTGAATAAGAGTGAGTTTAATCTCAAAAAGTAATTTATATGTTTCTATTATTGGTGAAAATATATATACAGATCAAAAATAGTAAACAGTGTGACCGTGGTGAATGGCGTAATTTAAAAATTAATTAAATCAATAACTGATGAACAACACGCAAATTCTTAAACACTCCAAATCGACCAATGTCTTAATTACAAGTTAAGCTTTTAATATCTGTTGATGGTTTTTTTCACACATCACTTGCATATGATAACTTGCATGCAGTTGTACTAATATTTGACATTTAAAACTTCATTATAATTTGCTTTGCTGCTTTCAGCTTCAAATGCCTTATTCGTTGCTATGTGTCTAGAATGGTATATATGTATATGTGTTAACGTCTTGTTCATCATGTCCATGTATCAAACATTATGTTACTTGTTGATGTTTTAACACTAAAAGTAGGCTCCTTTTACTTTTGCTAAGTGCTTTAACGCTTTCTGCTTTTGTTATTAGGAAAAAAGTGATTTTTAATATGAATTGTTTATAATACATTTTGTATATTTCCATTTACAGATCAAATACTATGAGGAGGAAATGAATGAAAATGAAGATGAGTAAGATTTAAACCTAGAAGAATTTACCAAAGATAACAGAGAAGGAAACCTTTATTTTAATGGTATATATTGTTTACTTTTTTAAATAAATGCACTAATCAATTGATAATACTGAAAGATGAGTAATATAGTTAGTTATGACTCCTACTATTAATTTGTAATTATTAATTTTTTTTATTATTATTTTTTTCAGATCAATAAAAGTATTCTGAATTTTTGGCAGTTATATTATTTTAAAAAACAGACCACAGTTAATTTGAAGGTAAGAAATATTAATTCAAAAAGAAAGATAACTCAATTTTTTTCATACAAATTACTAGATTTACCTCCCTGTTCATCACATAACCCATAAGATATGAACAATCTCATCTGGAGAATATATAGTTATACATTGATTGACCAATGAAAAGAGAGGTTATCAAATCCTTTGGATAGAGATAGCTTCCTGTTACATAATTTTTTTTTTTTTTTTTTTTTTTGAGATCTTTAAATTTAGGTGGATAGCCTATGACATGTCTCTTGTCAAAGTCATCTTTTACATGATCATTCTGATCTTTATCACCAAAAGCCGCCCCTGCAACATCATCCCAAACTTCCTTTGTACAAACGTTGATTTATTTTGTTTTGGATCAACGGTTTCTTGATTGAATCCTGCTCTTCAATTATTGTGACACACATGGCAACGTTCGTCATGCTTACCAAACATTCGACGTCGATGTCATACCAATGCTTTAAAGACCCAAATGTTGCAAAACACTTGTCCTACCTCCATGGCAAATATGTTGTTGTCCCCGCAGATAAAGCCCCAAACAACATCGTTTTTGTGTGTAAATATCATTACATAAACTGCATGATAAATGAATTAGGTATTGACAATTCATTTGGAAACTCAGCATATACCCTCACGACACTTACCAAAGAGGAAATCCTTGATAATCATAGGTCTGTTCTATGTTCCTTTGGAATTTCAACCAAAGATGAAGAACTGGATCTTCCATCACTGTATTGGATACCTAAACTACATAAGTGTCCTTA